GGTGATCAAGTATATGATTGATGAATATATATGTTAGAGATCTACTTAAATACAAATTTTATATATTACACTTATGTGAAATTTTAACAATTCATTTTTTTTACTTTCAATGGTTAAAATTTGTTTACATTTATTAAGAATAGTTATTGTTTTTATCTAAAAAGTCATAACAAATCTCAACTATTGAAAGTAAAAAAATAAATTGTTGAGATTTTATATAAATGTGATGTGTAAGATTTATGTGTAAAGGAATGATTCATTTACAGACAAATTTTATACACCATACTTATATAAGTTCTTAATTATTCATTTTTTCACTATTAATAATTAAGATTCATAATAATTTTTTAGATAAAAAATAATTATTTTAATAAATGTAAATAAATTTTAACCATTAAAAATGAAAAAATGAATAGTTCAGATTTTTTTAATAAATGTGATGTGTAAAAATTGTATATAAGTAACTTCCTACTCTCCCTCATTCTCCATTTATATATATTAGATTACATGATTTTCTAACCATATCAAATATTTTGAAATCAATTTGGTGCTTTATGGTTGAACCGAAGAAACAGTAATTATCATATTAGTAAGACTATTTTAATGGTTGATGATATTTACTATTTAAACTATGAAATATCTTTTATTTTGCAATATGGTATAAATTACTAGAAATATATACATTTTTAATCATTTTAAATAATCAAATACGTTCTATATTACTTTTTTCTCTATCTCACTACATATCTAAGTCACTACATATCTAAGGTTTGAAACAGGGGCGGAGGCAGAAGTTTTTTTCGGGGGGCAAAATATTAAAATTTTCAAAGTTCAGAAGAGACTAAATAATTTTTTATATACTAATTTGCAAGATTTTCAAATTTCAAGGGAGCGAACACCACCCTCCTCGCACCCCCTGGCTCTGTTACTGGTTTGAAATATATCACCAAATGGAAAACTATACTAAAATTTTGATTCTATTGAAAATAACATGTAAGAAAATAAGCGCACGCTTGCATGCAAAAGTGATTCGATGATAAATTAGTATTTGCAAAGAAAAAGTGTTAACGAATGTTAGGTGAACTTTTTTTTGCACCGTTTTTAGCTAACACAACTTACCTTTTGGATAGAACAAAAGGGGGCCAAAAAAAGCTAAAAAATGTTAGGCAACGTTTTTCACAGAATTATGGGAGACCGGTATTGAATTGACTGCCTAATTATTGTCTATTCCCTCATTCTATAGGGAAATTCATGATGAAACTCCATCAAATGCGAAATAGGTGGTCTGGTTTAATTAAACACTGTTTTACCAAATGAACAGATTCGGGGTCCACATGTCTCAGGTTTGTGGAAGTGGAACCAACTGTCAATCATTTTTCGTATTATTTTAATAAAATAACTTATCTCCTGTCTTACTACATGAATAGTAAAATATAAATTATTAAATAAAAAAATAATTTTTAATATTAAAAAATTTATTTTAATTTAATCATTTAAATTATACAATTTAAAATATGCAACATATTTTAATTATTTTACAACAAGTTTACGAAGATTATAATACACCATATCTAAGTAGTAAAGACAACAAACCTCTAATGAGTCCAATTATTGTCCCAGAGTGTCAGGATGAAAAAATAACTAATATACCCTTCATCTCAACATATTTTTTAATATACATTCAATTTAATTATTAAAATATAATATAAAAATAATTAATTTAATCAATTTTTATATATTATACACATGATTGTATTTTTAAATATATTTATTTTTGATTTTAAATAAAAAATAATAAATTTTAATTAAATATATTTTATATTATATTAAATCAAAATATATATTAATCAATGTTCACAGGCATATTATACCTTAAGAGAAGATCTTGCTAGTCAGTTTGCTACACAATTTTCATCAGGTGGAACTAAAGAAATTACGTAATTAAATAGGAAATTAGCCTTAAGATACTCAGATACATCTGTCGTCAATCATAATCTGCTCCGTTTTTAACATAAACTTTAATTACAATTTACTACATATGTACGGACTTTTATACGTGTAATTTTTTTTAAATTTTAATTGCACAATAAATTTTTTTTTATCCTTTATCCCATTTTATTTAGATATCATACGACTTAAAATTAAAATTTCTTACTTTTATTAGAAGAGATTATCATAAATTGTTTAAGACATTAATTGGCACCCATAATTTTTATTCATTCTTTTATAATTACACAATATTTATAATGAATGACCCTTAAAAAAATTTTTATACATAATTTTTGTTGAATTATTTATTAATTAAATAAAATTTCAATTATAACATTCATATAGACATACTGTATTTATAAATAGCACCATTTAACATTGTATAAAGTCAATTGTAACAATTAATTAATTTTGAATAGAGAGGGGTAATAATATATTTTTGATCTTAGGTAGGTGACAATATTAAAGAGAGTACTCCAACCCAATATTTTTCTTTATTCTAAACTTCCTATAGGCATATGTAATTGGGGAAAATGAAAAAAACTTCCAGTAAAAATTAAATCGGGAGAAAATCAGCTCTAAATGAAGTTTCTAATTAAAGTATTGCAATTTGCAAGGATTTTAGTGCTTTCACCGACATTCTACCACCAGAGTTGTTGACCTAACATTTCCATGATTAATAAATCTCTATGGATAAATTAGTGGTGTACATCATACCAAAGAAAAAGAAAAAAATTAGGGATCTACATATAATATCCACTAATTGATGATATTCAAAACTGACTAATTTGCATTATAAACTAGGTCATCCGTGTCAAATTCTATCTCCACTTCGTCCAAACAAAACATTTAGCTTCGTTTATTGTACATGTACCTTATTAAGGTGGGATTTGGGAAACGTCCCTATTAATGTAAGAACCTTTGTCACGATCCCAGACTGAAAAGGACCAAAAAAGATAGAGCTCTCATGTAATTGTGTACAGTAGTCCAGCAGCATGCACGACCCATGAATTCATAACGCACATATTCTGCCACCATAGAAAACGAAATGTGAATGCAAAAGGAAAACTCAAACCACATGTAAAAAGAAGACTCATGTTTTATTTCGCCACCACCAAGAACCCTTTTTGACGGTACTTTGAAGAAAACAATGATCTGATTTTCCTTTTCCCCTTTTTGAGAAAATTACTGTTTTTTAATTCGGACAAGCACAGTAGATATGGGGTACAGCTGACCGCGCGTGCCGTCCGGCGCGAGAGGCTCTGTCCTAGGGCCGACACAGGGACTTTATGTGATAGAATTTGACGCGGGGCCGGCGGGCAGCGGAAAACGACGGAGGTTTATGATTTTCTCGTTTGGTTGGGCAGATCGGGCAGCACGGGCAGATAATCTAGTCGCCGTCAATCTGTATATCTGTGGTGGTAATGGGGTGCAGCCTTCCCCTCGATCCACGGGCTCCCTCTAAAATTAGTGTCGTCTGTAATTTTTCTTTCCCGCCCAATTCTGACAATAATTTCCACATGCAATAATGTTCGACTAAAGATAGTTGGTATAACCCTTTAAAATTACTAATTAGCTGATGATTCTATCTAATTTAGATGTTGATCATTATGGTTAGTGTATTATAATTTAAATATTTTTATTTATTGAATTTGATAAAACTACTTATAAGTAATTTTTAATTATTTTACCGAACACTTTTAAATTTTAGTTTTTGGGTTTAATTAACAATACTATAGTTTAAAATTATATAGAAACAATTTGAACTTTTCAGTCAAGGTATTAGGAAACCTTATGCCAATCAAGACAGTGAAACATTGTCGTAATGTTAGACATTTCTTTCAAAATCATTATTAGCAATAGACTAGTTGCTAGACGATATGGAGTGAAATAAGACAGGGAAAGTAGGTATTTATAGAGAGAGAATGTGCTATGATTATGCATTATTTTGTTAAGGTTATTAAATTTTATTTATTTTAAAAGTTAAAAAATAACAAATAATTAATAAAATAATTCATTTTCATTATTTAACAAACTGAAATCAAATTATAAATTGGTATTTTCAAATATCATAACTAATTATTTAAGAAAAAAAATATAAATAGATAAAATATCAATGAAACTAACAAATTTTTAAGTGGTGTTAATAAAATGATGGGTGACTATAACCACAACCATGAAGAGAATCCAAAAGATTGGGTGTTATGGAATGAAATGACATGATAGGTGATAACCAATTAACCATGTGTGAGATCTAATACAATAAGAGTGTATATACATGTACATTCTCTCCATTCAACTTTAGAAAATCTAATTTTTAATTTAAGATATTCAAATTTAATTGTTTATTTTCATGTAATTTAGTTATTCTTATTTTACCCTTAATTTAAGAAGACAATCACAATTTATATTAAATAAGAACACTTATTTAAAAATTAATTAATTAAAAGATAAAAATAAAATTTTATCAATTAATTATAACATTCATATTTTATTTTAAAAAAAAAACTAAACCTACTAAAATTAAATAGGAGTAATGTCTTTTCCTTATCCAACAAAACCATATAATTTTGAATTTTCTAAGGTTTCTTTCTCATTTTCAGTGGTTGAATTACGTTAATAATACAATATGATATCATGTTTTCTACAATGCCAATATGTGAATATTTTGTTTTGTTAGTATAATTTGAACCTACATTTGATATTTGTGTTTTCTTTCAAACATCAAAATTGTCAGTATTTGGAGAAAAAATTTCAAACACATTGAATAAGAGCTTTTTATGAATGGGTGCATACTCTGATCATCAGGTAATTTTCAACAAAATTTTTTTGATGACCCACAAAGGAAAAGAAAATTTTGATGTTGCCCGTCTATTACTTCAAAGTTGAAAGTAGTAGTAATAATTGAACAAGATTTTCTCTAATTTGGCACGTAATTATTGGTATAGGTTCTCACTTCTCACTCATGATTAATTTTAACCTGTGCTAATTTGGATGGTCCACCTAGCTAGCTTGAAAAATTCAAATCAAATTTGGAATCCATCAATATTCTATGTCAGTGGCTGGACCAGTCTTATTATATCTAGTCCACTTCAAGCTACATATATATACTACGTACACAGACTATAATCAATCATTTTGTTTTTTCAAACACAACAAAAATGTCTTAACTAAAGTCTAAGTTTGATCTGTGTCGCAATATGCAACTTTGTAGTGAACCCAAAAGATTTGGGAAAAATTAAAAGGAAAATTAATTGCTTGATAGGAGAAAAGATATGGATGGTTACAACCTAAAAGATGTACATTCTCCTAGGGATGGGGTGTTCAACCTGACAAAAGCTAAGATGGACAAGATCCTTGCTGCAGGACTATACCATATTTCATGTCTCTGGACAAACATGGCATGTGTGGGCTTGATATTCTTTTTGGGAAAAGCAGCCCCATAATGCTTAACCTCTCATATTTCTCTGTTGATTCAAATATTTTTGCGTTACCAAGATTGGATATGCATTAGGTCCTATTCAAGAAAAGAGTTTTTTCTGATTCATCATTAGGCCATTGGGGATAAAATATTCTCTATATGCATTTTTAATTGGATTGGGGGATCTTAATTGACGATCCCAAAGGGAATATTGTACCATATAAATACGTTCAAAATGCCCGTGAAAAGGATAGATAGTTCTTGATAAGCTTCTTTGTTAGTTCACATGCAGGTTTTGATGAGAATGGATAATCTCACGTGGATAAGTTAAAAGAAAAATTTGTAAATCTCAATAAATTATGAATAAATTATTTATTTTGATTGATTTTATTGTATATATGACTTGGGAGGAACAGATGAGAAGAGAATTATATCATTTTATTCTTTTTTTCATAAATAAATTTAAAAATAAAATAAATAAAAAATTTCTACTTCCATTTAATTCTTTTAATAACCAAATAAAAATTTTTTTCTCTCTCATTCTCTTTTAATTTTTTAATAATTAAATAAAAAAATTTCCCTTCTCTCTCCTCCATTTTCTTCAATCCAAACATATCATTAAAATACATACTGAACATGACTTAGACATTTATATGATGCATAATACACATAGCCAGGTGTTTGTGGATATTAGTACGCATCAAGTCTATCTAATATATTTATACAAAAAAAGGTTTTTTAGTGCAAAATGCAAAACACCAATAATAAAATCTTGGGATAGGTCCCTTTTACTACCACCATACGGTAAAGGTTAAATCTCTAATTTGGTTTCTCAACTATTATATGGACCTTCGATTTGGTCATTTAACTAAAAAAACTCTTGATTTGCTTCCTTCTACTTACCAATTTGTCTCCAAGTTAGTCATTTCGTACAAAAACAAATAACGTGTTTTGTTATTGACTACATGGTAGTTAAGTAACTATTTTTTGTTGTTAAGTAACAGATATGTCAGTTATTTTTTAAGAGAATGACCAATTTGGAGCCAAATTGATAAATAGTAAGGATAAAATCAGCGATTCGTACAATAGTTGAGGGATCAAATTGAGGATTTTTTTAGTTTAAGGACCAAATCAAAATCCGCATAATAGTTAAGGGATCAAATTGGGAATTTAAGTACCGTAAAACATCGGATTGATGCTAATATATCCACCAAAAAATTAATGAAAATTTTTTTTTTTTAATGACCCAGCCCTCAATGCTAGATGCTACTTGCTAGTATATGTCTGGGCTTTTCAATAAAATATATTGATAGCTGGACTAAGTCCAAGACAGCCCAAAATTAAACGGGTCGAAACTTGTCATAACTGGACTCGAGCCAGAAAGGCCCATCAATTTTCCATTTGCTTCGAAGAAAAATGCATTTAAAAATCCGCAATATCCTAAGCTTTTGGGACTACCGATTCCTACACGAACGTCAAATCGTCTCCACCAGCCACCGAGTCCTCAACGCTGCAACTCTGCAGCCAATTTCTAGGGTTCAGGCGGTGATCGGATTCTCGTCGTCCGTTTCCGCTTCAACAATCATCATGAACTGCGAAGTTTGTCAACTCAAAGAACTGGTAATTCGATTTTGCTTAACTTTCCAGATTTAGTTACAGTTCTAATAGCGAAGTTGCTGTTATTTCTGTTCAACTTTCATCGCAAGTGCTACTGAAATTTGTTGTAGGAAGTGGAGCACTTTCAGATACACGAGGTTTTGAGCTGTGAGTTGAGACTTTAGATTTTTGTTATTGATTGTTTTTCTGCAGTTTGGAACTTGGGTCTTTGTCTCTTATGTTATTTTATTTAGCTCCATTTGTGGAAATTTCATTTGATGGTGATTTTTGTTGAAATGAAATTGGGACATGGAATTGGTTACAGGTATTTTACATACCATTGTGTTTCACCGTGCTCTTGGTCTGGTGCGGCCCAAAGACGTTGATTTGGAACTTTTTGAAATCACATATGTGAGTGATTTCTCTTTAGGATTGAATTTACTGTTTAAGATGTATGCTTTTTACATGCTCTTTTCCATCTGTGTTTTTGTTTGAATTAGGTGCAATGTGGGGATGCGGAAATCGAAAAGAAAATAAGAGAGAAGATTGAAGAGTTCATAAGTTGGGTTGAGAAACATCCAAACAAGAAAAGTCAGGTACGGCAATTAGTTTACTAAGGACTTACTGTTAGTAGCTTTGTGCATTTCTTAAGGTCAGAATTCCTTGTTCAGTTTTTGGCACGGGAAGGTTTGGCAGAGGCCATCTTTGTAACGGAAGAACCATTTAAATGCATTAACCTATCATTGATGCTTTCTGTTTTTTGTACATAATGCATACAGCATATTCAGTGGCTTTTTTTAAGCAAGAATATTTTATTCTTTACTAATTTAAACATTTGGAATTTCTAATGTGAAGGTAGGTATGGTTGTTTCTTGTCCATTCTCATTTCTGATATTTTCCAATAAAATTCATTCAGGACTTCATCATGGTTTCTGTTGTTGCTTGAAGTTTATAGTCCACATTCCGTCATGTGTTCCCTACAGATTATATTTGCTTATGTTTCTGCTTGTTGTCAGTTAAGTTGACTAGCTTCTGCATTTTTCATGCAGATTTGTTTATCTTTCTATGAGGTGAAAAGCAAACAGCAATCATGGTTCACTAACAAAACTGAGCGATTATATTGGGAACGGTGGTATGTTAATTTGAATGTGACTCAACACCCAAGGGCACATTCTGGCAAGTCTCATCATTCAAAAGTAGTTGTAGACCCTGGAGGTACAATCACACACATGCATTCATTTAACTTTATAAATGATTTACTTATTAGATACAGAGGCAATTTTGTTTTCCTTTTCCTTTTTGTACTTATAGAGAGTGAATCCGAGGAGAGAAGTGTTCGCAGAGCAGCACTTGAAGCATCTATCCGGGAGGTTATGTTTCAAATTATAAAGTTTGCCAATGAGAAGAAAGATCATGTTCCATCCATATCTGAGGGCATCATCCATTTTCCCTACGAAATTACTTTCCCAAGGTCAGCTCTCCTTTTCTTCTGTAGCATAATCTCTTTGAGAGCCAAGAGAACTCCTAGAATGATAATTTATTTCTTGATTAATTTACAAAGAGGAATATTGTGGTGGGTTAGATAAGAGGAAAGTTTATTGGATTTGTGTGAAATGTTAATCAATGTTACCTGTTTAGCATAGATAGTGAATGTTAGGTCTTTAAGGGACAGTTTATATACTTAAGAGTGTGAAAATGTCAATCAATGGTTCCTCTTATTTCCTTTCTTGAAGCTAAGGCTTTCATATTTATGCTGTTTTGATTGACTAACTTACTAAAGGAAGCTCAGAGACAATCATCCCCCATTCTCTCATCTGGTTTAAGCAACACATCTGTTTTAAGTTACCAGTGTTCTTGTGTTGAGTAACAAGCCAAAATTTAGTGGGGAAATGGAAATGTGTAACTAGGATCATTTGACTGCTGGTGAGGCATTGCTTTTGTTTTGATAAGAAATTGTTGCTGCCAACATTTCTTTTTGTTAGGAAATTACAGTGAGGAACATGATTAGACTGCTGAGTTAACATTGTGCTGCCATTACTCAGTTCATCAGACTCCGCTTTTGGGATGGACGTGATCAAGAGGATGCTTCAAACTGGGCATCCAACCATGCTTAGCTGATTATCAGACCTGGCAAGCTGAATCACATCCCACCAAAATCTCCTCCATGGTGAAAAAAAAAAGGTTACTCTTCTCGTAATTTCCTCAAATGTGCATAAAATTAATCTTAAGGCCATATATTCCATGTGAATAAGAAAAGTGGAACAACAAAAGTATTTAATCCAATGGCTGGTTTCTTTAATACATGTGCTGTGTAGCCCAGCTATCAGGTATAGAAAACAATCTTCCCTTTACCTTACTGTGTCCTGTCTATTGGAGTATTTAGCATGGGACAGAGGGAAGCTTCTGGTCGGTACAGTTAGTGTCTATATTATCAAAGATAGGATTCTAATCTGCGTGGCTGGTTGCATTATATTTGTAAATATTATCTCCTTTGTGTGCTTAATGACATACCCTTTTCATACTATTTATTTCACATTCACTGAAACTATGAATGCCATTATCGTGCTGTATCATTTGAAAGAGATTGATAGTTTATTGTGCCGCTCTTTTTTGCGTTTTTGCTTTGGCCTTGTGCTGCCCTTTTCGTTTAGAAAAGAATGTTGATCCGAAACAAATATGCATCACTCAGTCGGTGCCGTGCAGTCAACTTTGTTGTCTTTCTCGGCCATGTGGATGCTTCCAATTGGTTTAGAAAGAGGTTTTTTTTTGTTTTTTTGTTGAACCTCCAGGAAATTAGTGGAAAAGGGATTTTAAGTTGAGATTTTATGAAAAGGAAATATGAGAATGCAGAGGATTTCAAAGTTTATGTTGTTGTTGTTACTGTTATTATTATCATTTTAACAGAAAAGCAACTTTGCATTACAAATCAACCCATACAGCATAGCGCTAGAGGCACTAGAAAATCAAAAGGTGTAGCAAATTAAAGCTCTTTAAACCTGTAAAGCAATCTAAAAGCTAAGGGAATACTATAGCTGAATTTGGTTTTGAATTTGACCTTAAATTTGCAAGTCAGTATAATCTACCTGATTGATAAACAAAATGGTCGTTGTTGAGATTACTGGCTGCTGAACGAATTCTAAGACAAAGCATTGACCACAAACTGCCTCTGCTGCTCTGAACTTCCACTAATTTCAAACTGAGAAGGGGATAATATACAACTGGTACCTAGGGGTGGGCAAAAACCGGTTTTGGTTAAAACTGAAACCGGTTTTGAAATAACCGAAATTTTTTTTCTTAATTTTGAGAACCGAAACCGAATCGAAATTATCAAAAAATCAATTGGTTTGGTTATCAATAAATCGGTTTTAAATTGGTTTGGTTTTGGTTTTTGATAAATAAATAATAAATAATTATTTTTTAATAATATTTTATATTTTATCACATTTTATTATATTTTATCACATATTTTATTATATTTTATCATATTTTATCATATTTATCTTAATTTTAATTTTTAAATAACTTATTTTTGGTTTATTTTCGGTTTTTGGTTTTTGAGAGACTCAACCGAAATCGAACCAAAATCTATTCGGTTAACACTAAAACCGAAAAAATAAAATCAAAAACCGTTGAAATCAAACCGAATTCATTTTTTCGGTTCGGTTTTTGAGTAAACAATCGGTTCGATTAGAAAATGCCCAGCCCAACTGGTACCTATGAAACACGGGATCGTGCCTAGAGAGGTGATCCCTAGGGGGAGATTTATCCTAAGAAAACAAAACAAAACAAAAAGATCGAAGGAGAAGAAAACGGAAAACAATAGAACGAAAAGACAACCGAATGGAGGATGAAAGGAAAATAGAGGAGCGGAGAGAGAGGCGGCGCTGGGGCTCCCCCCCTTCTCCACGGTTCTTTTTCTTAGTGGTTTTTAATGAATTGAAAGGGATTTAAAATGAAAAAACGTCTTTTTAGGGAATATTTTAAAAATAAGCTAAAATATTTTTGGTACGAACGGAAATTAAATTTTATTATTGAAATCTCTTACTTTTTATTTAAATAAAACCAATAGAATTTATTGTAAATAAAAAGTAGTACTCTTTTTTATTTAATTTTAATTGTTCTAATTTATTTTTAAAATTTTTTAAAATTAATTTTAGTTGAAATTTAACAAGGTACAGTAAATGACAGTTAAATTTTTTTTCTGCATATAATTTTTATTTAATAGTTTCATTTGATATAATTTATTTTAATTATCATTTATATTATATTAAATTTTTACCTAAAATATATATGTAAAAATTAAAAAGTCAAATTAAACTAATTAAAATTGAATGGAAATAGTAGTATCTATGATGTAATCACTATTCTAATTGAAAAAAATTATAGAATAACTAGTTAAATTATTAAAAAAACACTTCTTCATTTGTATGATTAGAGTTTGAATCCCAATTCTCCTTCCCTGCCTCTTTGAGTCTTTTCCCCTTGAGGGCCTCTTCCTTAAAAAAAAGAAAAAATCATTGGAGTCCATCTTTTGATGAATCAATTAAATGTTGCCACTTCATAAAAATAATAAAAGCTATTACGTAATTTAAATTATATTAAATTATATATTAAAAATAATTTAATAAATAATAAATTTGTTAATATTAGGGTTTTTCTCTCTTCATTTATTTTTATTTTAAAATTTAGTACAATATAGAGTTAAAAGAAAAAACACCATGAAAATAATTCTTTTTTCAATTATTTGGGCACGTGGAATGATTTGTACACTACAGGTACTAACTTTTAATGACGCTTTAAATTATTATTGACCTAGTCAGTTGGATGGAGATATAGCATATAGGGTTGTTGTAGTGAATTAAAAGCAAATAATGTCCTTTACATGTGATTCGTAGTGAGTTATTCCCCCTTCCCATTAAAGGGGGGAAAAAAAACGTTTTCCTTAAGGGGTTCTTTGTGGATAAAACGAATTAGGAAAATGCGGTTGCAGATATTTTTGACCAAACTCAGTTCTACCAGTGCCTCGGATTTTGTTACGTATGAGACGAGCCCTCTTGGGATCTCTTCCATTCTGTATTATGATTGTGGGAACTGTTTTTCCAAGAAAGCTGCTTAATTATTTATAAATATATTTTTTTAATTTTTTTTTAAAAATAAATTATAATTATTTATAAATATTAATTGAAAATAAAAAGAGAGATTATTTGAGATTCGAATACATAATTAAAAAAAAATGAACGGTTGTAATTCAAAATTTATATCATTAGTTAGAAACGAAACGTTTTATATATTTTAATTATTAAAAAAATTGAAATGGGGACAACTCATCGCTTCTACTACTATTTATTTTTCCCTTTGATATCGCCTCTACTACTGTAGCCTTAATTAGATTCGCTGTATGAGCAGTGCTAACTGCTAAGGGCACTCGCCCATAAGCACTCTTCTCAACATTTGGTTTCTCCTGCAGACACGTAGCAATAAAATTTAACACTCAAACGGGCAACCGACTTCCCATGCCCCTTTTTGTTTTTATTATAAGTATTTTTTTTATTTGAAAACTCACTAACAAAATGATATAAATTAATTATTTCATCGAATGAGGTACTATATTATTTTTTTATAATATGTTAAAGAGTTATTTATTTAGTAAAATAAAGATTTCAATATTTAATTTTAATTTTAAAATAAAAAATTAAATTAATAAATACTAATTTAATTAAATTCTTATTGG